GGGGCTGGTCTGCGTGTAACATAGCTCGGACAGTAGAATTCTGGCATTCTGAAATAGGGCGGCATATGTGAAAGCTAAGAAAAAACTGACCAGTAGGAGTCAATGTGTGTGCATTTCTAAACCAAATGATGATTCTTTAACTTGTGAGATGATTTTGCAGGTTTATTTCCATCCTTCAAATTTGAATTTAATAGGCCATTTTCTGGGCAAATGTTTCTTTCTAATTAGGGTAGTCATTAGTTTACCTTATAATTACTTTACCTCTCACCATACTGAGGAAGTGAAATAGGCTTACTCTCTGAGGAACCATTTAGAATTGTTAAGGACATGCTGGGTCTTTACCGCAATTTATGGTTTTAGCCATTACCTTATTGGGTTCTGTTTCAGTCTTCAGTTTCATTTGCCCAGTGCGTCTAGCTTTACACATAGAAAATGATAGGAAGCGTGGCACACTGCTGTCAATGGCTGAGGCCGACCTCGGCAGGAAGCCCCAACCCTGCCTGCCCACTTGGATGTCAGAGGGTTTCCATGTCTTTGAACCCTCCTGGCTTATTTAAGACACATCAGTGTGCTTGGTTGGGAGGCTGTGACTTCACTTTATCCCTTATCCCTTTATCCTTTGCTCTTTATTCCTTCCTCTTCAGTAGAGTATACTGTTGCCCCTTCTGCCAGGATTTTTTTTCTGGTTTTTTTCTTTCCTAAAGAGAGAAGATACTTTTCATAGGCCCCTTTGCCCATTATGCACTTGGCCAACTCACATTGATCCACTTTATGGGGTGTTGCCTAGTTTTCGCTGAAGTATAACAGACACACAACAGATCATGTCTGACCCAGCTTAAGACTGTGGAAAGGTTCTAGCTTTGTAGATGTGTTTGTGTGAGATACTTTATTTGTATTTTGTTCAATGTCTGAGTTTACATAAGTAAAAATATCCATGTGGGTTTAGTTCTTAGTTAATGGTACTTGACTTTTCTGTATGTTTCATAGCGGATTCCTTTTTTGCTGGCCAGTACAGCAGTCAAACCCTGGACCTTGGTGTTATCGGCTCTGTGCTCTAACCACCTGAGCTAACTGGGCAGCCCATAGTGGATTCTTCATTTTTTAGGCTGTTAAATAAAATCTAATTTTACTTGATTATGCATAATATAGCAAATGGGTAAAGGAATCTTTCAACTAGAAAGGTAAAATTATGATACCTTACACCATCATTTTTTTAAACCATAAAAGAACTCACCAATCTTCTAACGCTTGACCCCCTTTCCCCCTAAGTAATGATCATGTCCTTATAATTTGGCATTCTATCAGACTCACAGAAACTTGCATTTATTAAAGTTGTCTGCTTTATTTTCTTTAGTCTTTTTATTCCAAGATGAAGGGGGTGATTGAGGTTGGTCAGGTGGGTCATAATTTGGGATAGAAATTACTACTGAGATCCCACTTTTTTGCCTTATTCTTTGGGGTTATTGCCTTAATTAATTTTTCCAGGTTTTTTTAGGGGGCAATTTGATACACTATAATCATATAATTTTTCTTTTTTGTTATTGTTGTTTTGTTACTAGAGTAGATTTCACCCGAAACAATTGTTTCCTAATTTTCCAGCATTGTTTAACCACATCACAACAGTGGTATATGACCAAAGTTATTTTCTTACTATCTAGGGTATATTTGTTCAGCTAGTCCAGGCTAATTCTCCAGCCTCGTTGGTTGGTCTGAGATTTGGGGACCAAGTACTTCAGATCAANGAAATATGGGCCTCCATTTATTTTCTTGTCCAGCCCCCATATGTGTTGAGGGTGGACCCTGTATTTCATTGTTATAGTAAGCTTTTGGGTTTTTGTTTCTTCTCAGTTAAACTTCTGTTTTGTCTACTTTGGCATTTCCAGTTTCTCATACATTTTAGGTATTTAGTAAATGCTTTATGGATAGTGTCATTTTTACCTTATATCTAAGCAGTATTTCAAGGAGTAAATTGGACCAACAGGAAGATCTGGCTGGTCTGAATTTTACAATGT